TATATGAAATACATACCTGCGCTCGTTGCAGAAGAGGGCTAGGGGAAGTGGGACGAGTTTTTGTGGGGACTGGTGATACTGGTGCTTGATGGGTTGGTGGAGACACTTCAGTACGGGTAATGCGGGGGGCACGAGGATCCGAAGCAGGTAAACGAATGCTAGAAGTGCGCGACGCCGGCGACATTGATGGGAACTGTTGAGGGCGTGAAGGCGGAAAATTTTCCGGGGAGTGAGCCGACCTAGCCGGCGGAGAGCGCAAGGTGGGTGATGTTGCATACTTATTCGGAGATGGCTGTACGGGAGAACGGGCTTGTCTCGGAGTAACAGTGGGTGATCCGCTGACAAAACCACGAACTTCGCCATTCACCTGGAGCGATACAAAGGTGAAGTAGATCAACAACATAGATTGCAGATTTGAATTATTATCACAGAACTAACTGCATCAAAACATCGTGACGGGTCTAGAGAAATTGGAACAATGTTCGAATATCAACTGCTACACTACACTTGTAATCACACATTCTCCTAACAATACTGTGTTGCGTTCAAGTCCACTCGAACCTACCTAGTAAGTACTGGGTGGCAATCAGAAGTGACGCTTCTGCCTCAATCAGAGGAAGAAAGCGGCAATCTTACAACGCTGTACGTCGTGCAGGAATGAAAAACAGGACAGTTTACTAGCGAGTTACGCAACCGCCGTCGAACTGCGCGCCAAGCTTACGGGTGAAAATCTCTCATTTGGATTGTGGGAGGTGAAAAGACGCCCAAAAGTCAGACCGGTTTGTTTCAGCATGAGTTGTCTTTCGAGTTGTTCGAGATAAAAACCAGGAGATCAGCTTGCTAACGTGTTTAGCATGTAGGGCACCCGAAAGTTATAGAGATAATAATGACCGAGGAAAATGACACACATGCCCTGCACACATGAAATATTAATAGAGGGGGGAGGGCAGAACAAGAGTGGCAAGGTGCCGTCACAAGTACACGGACAGCAGTAAAAAGATATACTTCCATTTTCCATTTCCCACTCCTTACTCGTCTTAGCAACCAGGCAAGCCGAAACATGACGTTTGAAAACACCAGTTGTCCGTTTGGCACCATTGGCCCACATTCGAAACTGCGTGAAGTAGATCGCCTATCGGTAAAGTTGCATTCTGGGTAAAATACGAAAAGTAACAAGTATCATGCTCTTAAGGGCTACCGAAACAAGTAATTTGTTGCACAAATATCATATCTACCTTGCCCATAGACTTTTCTGGAAGATTGATTACGATCTCTCCACGTTTCACATGCAGAGGCCTGGTCTGTATGGAGTAGTCATCTGAGTCATCTACAACCATCGCATCTAACTCCAGTCTCGAACCGGCAGCGCGCGAACTTTCCTCTTCCTTATCAAACATGGACTTGCCGTTGGAAATAACGACTCGTCGATCATCCGGACTCACAGCAACGCGTCTCGGTACTTCGGGTGACTTGGAAGCCTGTCGGCGTTTTGCATCGCGTGATCTGTCAGGGTTTTCCTTTCTCTGAGAAATTGGGGACTCACTGTGTTCACTCTCCGAAGAGCTATTTTAGGGGGGAAACAGGCAAAGTAATAAGAGGAAGATGCAAGGCAGAAAAATACTGGGATGATGCTATGTAAACTAATAATCCGAAATACTAAAAACAACAAACCCGAAAGAGGAATTCCGAGCCAAACGAGTTGACGATCTACTGATTTCCATCCCTAGACAAACCATTCCACAGTAAACGACTCCAACACATCTGTGCATGAACAATGCCTTTCCTGGTGAGTTTTACATACGGCATCAGATGAAAAAACAGCCAAACTTGATCCTGCTCAGCAGAATACACGCGGCTGTGTAACCACTTACCACTGTCAGCTAGCAAGGAATCGAAAAATTAGGGGAAAATGGACAAGCGGAAGTGCCACAATCCAATTTTATAAATAGACGGGTTGGTAAGGTTACATAACACCCCATATATAGAGGATGAAAAAGTTGCATTCTACAAAAGGATAATAACAAATCTCGTCCACCCAACCCTAAAATCTTCATAAAAAACAGCATGTGAAAACTGGAGATTAAGATGCCCTTAGGCCAATTTCGAATTCTGAGAGTAAGGTTCGGGAAAAACCACAAACAAGTGCGAACGCAGTACATTCAACATCGCTTAGTAAGCCTGTGTTGTGAAAGCCATGAGATTCGTTACCGTTGTGACTAACAGTTTGCTTACAGTGATGAGCTAACCAGAATATGTATTTGACGAAGCTTTCTTGAGATATTTTCCGGGGATGAATGTACAGGCAGCAAATGAAACCACCGAAGATCCAATCAGTACGAGCGAGCAACGGGCATTTGATCCACGTGGATGTAGTTCATGTTAGAGTCAAAAGACCTTATCGCCGTTTGCACACCAACTTCGTGGTCTCTGGATAGGGTTGTCGAGATAAGCAATCATGCTGAGGAATGAGGCGGCACGGATTGATATACCGTCGGCAGAATCCTCTGAACGTGCCACGATTGTTTATGTGAGGGAGCTCTCAGTGATAATGAGGTCAGCGCAGAAAATAAGCAGATTGTGAACAATCCCAGGCCGAGCTGAAATAGCCATCATTCGGCTCGATATCAGAAAAACGTCTACCAGATAATTCCATTCTACGTAAAGTTGTTTACCTGAAATATTGTTGCGCGCAGCATCTACTCTGCCCAAATAGAAGAGAAGATGTGGGTTTAAAACAACCACAGGAGTGGGAAACAGGTTCACGGCAGTAGAAAAGAAAAAAGTCCCAAAAACCTTGCACTGACCACGCCTGCGTGAAATGGCATGTCACGCATGGCTCCACTGTTAAAGCTTGTGAGACACTAAAACGTCTATGCAGTCGGCATCATGAACAGATTGCACCCAAAGCAAACCAAAGACTTCAAAATCAGAAGCACCAAATTTTTAAGTGGCTGGACTCAAGTCCCGAACCCCTGAATAAGTCCTGTTGTGAGTGAGACACGGAAATTTTCATAAGACACCTCGATCAAATTCCTAATATAGCTGCAAGGGAACCTTGGTGTCTCGACGTTAAAAATACGGACAATTCGATTGACAGTTAGGGTATCACAAGCTGTAGAACAAGACCCAAGGAGGTATACATCCCTCACGATATTTCAATTTCACAAGTCATACTGAGATTTCCAGCAGGACATCAGGGCTCCTGTCGGGACACCTTAAAACTTCATATGCATCTCACAAACAGCGACATGGTGACGCACGAAAAAGCACAGCGAGGTTGAGAATCTAGACGAACCCACCATGACAACGCTAACGTGAAACGAACCTCTGTGATCCAGGATGTTGCAACAACGGACAGATGTCGAAGCGTTGGCTTATGCTTTCGTTTTACTGGACTATGTTAATCGCAACACTGATGCATACTCTTTGACATTTAAATAGCTAGTCGCTCAATGAGACCATGTGCGTGTACCTGAGCGGACGATAGATACTTCCATTCTAGGGTATGGGGCAACTGATGACAAATTTAACTGGAAAGCAGCTTCAATAAGTTCCGAGTGCAGGCAAACTGTCTTCGACGAAACTGACTACTTTAGGCCATGAGGAACTGCGATAAAATGGACCACTGGCACGATATGCTACCGCGGCATGACTCACTTCCGGGCATTTTCTGGGACTGTTTCACGTTGCTATCTTCCAGTAGTGGCTTACACATAAAACATTCAGGTCATCAGTATTCCGGCGAATGAGAAGCAATGTAAGGAACGTGACCAAGAAAAAAACAGCTAATGGACTTTTCCTAACGGAACATACTACTCATAAGGCTGCTGGAAACTTCGACAGCATGAACAATAGATTCAGCCGGATTCAGATTAGTTTACCGTTAAAACCACATTGGTGTATTTCGCGAGCTGGTAAACTTGTTCTACGTGAAGGTATGTTGATTCCGTGGGTGACTGGGGTTGCAGGTGCATTCGCGAAATTTCACAATACAATCCACCAGAATAGGATGCAAATACGGGCTGGTATATGAATCCACAAAGCATACGAAAGAATAGGGACTCGGTCTAGAAGTAGCCTCAGTAGATGCTGCCTATTTGAATAGGGAGCTTTGGTGGGCGGGACGTCTGTCTAATTATGACGTAAGGAGTTCGACTCTCACGCTCGTCACGGACCATAATCACGGGCAACGACACATCAGTAGTGCGGCCGATCTGTAGTGTTCTGAAAATATAACCAGGACGTTCGCTAAGGCTTACCGAGAACGCTTGGATATTTGTCTGGGTAAGTGCAGGTCTTGTCGTTTCTGAGGTATAGGGGACGCTCCTTTAGGAGGTACAGGCATATTGCGAGAGGTAACCTCGGCAACCGCGGAATCAGCATCGATGGCAGAAGAAGGCGAACCGCTAGGACTCCGATTACGGGCATTCACTGCAACTGCCGATGGTGAGGTGGATGATTTTCGGCGTGTATTGTCCCTAGGACTGGCTACCGGCGAACGAGCCGGAGAGCGAGCATCACTGAAATATAAGTGGTATTATCCTTGATTAGGCTGTGATCAGTGATAAGAATTTAATCATCAGTACGTCCAAATATCACGACAGTCATGCCCTTCTCTGAAAATACGAAGTCAAAAGTGGTCTTTGACCTGTGGTGGCCTCTATAGCACAGGCCCGGGTTTCTCTGCCAGACAAGAATTCACTGTTTCCGTGTTTTTTATCTTGATCAGCAGAACGGCTACCCATAAATTACCTCAAAGGAATGTGAAGATCGCTCCATTCCGGGACCGCCGAATCCCTTCCCTGACAGATATGAATAGTACGGAGGGTTTCAATTACATGCGACAATGGAACCATGCAACCAAGTCGACCAACAGTCAAGAGTACACACCGAGATATATCATCAAACATTAGTTGCAGGTGATTGCGGAATATGCAGAATTTACATTCACAGCAATTTCGTTCTAATAGTCCTCGTCCTGTCCTGGCTCAGTTATTCTGGAGACTCCACAACAAAAAATGGAAAGCAATGGACTCAGGACTATGCTGTTACTAAAACTCATCAATACATATCCTTCGCCATCCTGGGGTTTGAACTCCGGACATCTGACATGCGAGGCAAATGTGCTCGATTTCATACTTAAAACACATATGCACTGTGAAAGCGTAAAAAACGTTGAAATAAACACTATTCCCCTGAATATAGCAACTCCCAACAAATTTCCACTCGAGACAACACAAGTCCGTATTCGCAGGTGATCTGTGATCACAATATTTTCGGAGTTCTAATGATGCATATTCTCTGGCAGGTCTCTGGACACAGGATGTTGGTGGGAATGTAGATACTTTGTTACTACTCACATACACTCACGAGTTAATTTGTTCGATGCAATGGGTGGAATTAATGAGTACGGGAGACCGTAAATTGTGCTCCGATATACAATTTTCCCAAAAAGGCCTCAACTTCCAATAAACCACCTATTATGGAAATATCCATCGCGGACGAAGAAATAATATGCAAAGTTTCTGAACTACGGTGAATAATTGTAGCTTGTTCATTTCCACTGAACTTTATGGAGATAGAAGGCTTGTAGAAAAATTATTTTGATGGGAATTTGAAAAAAAAAACACTCGGAAACTATGGAATACCTACCTGATTATGGACAAACTCTGGAATTTACTGAAGGCGTACGGAAGTTTGAGCTCTGGTCGGGTACGGATATTTTTAGGCTGGNAAAATTATTTGATGGGAATTTGAAAAAAAACACTCGGAAACTATGGAATACCTACCTGATTATGGACAAACTCTGGAATTTACTGAAGGCGTACGGAAGTTTGAGCTCTGGTCGGGTACGGATATTTTTAGGCTGGTTAGAGACCACCAGTAGAGCCTAGGCATTTTTAAGATACCCCGATATGCGAGGATCTTTACGGAGCTAGTTAAGCAACAAATGTACGTTGTACCTTAGTTATGGATAATACGAGATTGTCCGTAATATCGTGGTACCTTCAGGTTATCACTTCTAACTTAGTGATATAACTCACTGGGGGAGGGTTAAACATTCTCTTTCGATGCCTGTTTGTGGAGAGTAAAAGGTCCTGCATCATACTTATTGCCGTTCCAAATGTTCTACTTCTTTCAGTGAAGCCCGGGTGAAAATGCCATTATAAACCATACCGGGTCACCACAAGAGCCTTTTGTACAGATCGAACTGGGATAACCGAGCAAAGCTACTGAGGCCTAGCCGCTGTACGCATGTTTGCAAGATTCTAGTATCACGCATTCGGTAATACAACCAAAGATTTAAGAAAGACAACGACTAGAAGATTTCCGCCGCACGTATGGACATATGCACCCATACATTTCGCTCTCTTAAGCGGTTCACTTCACAACCTGATGAATAGAGCGTCAATCAAAGCTCCATTGCAATAATCCGTGGCTTCCGCTACTTGGCTATCATTCGATGAACTCGTGGAAGCGTATGAACGAGTGATGAAGACCGGTAATGATACATACTACCACATAGAGGCAAGCACTGAATCCATTAGCCGAGTGTCACCGTCGACGAAGTCAAACTCGAAAAGCACGTGAAGGTGCCTTATTGACAGGATCTGCCCCCGGACGTTAAAACAGGTAACAAGTCGTCTATGATCAAAGGAGCTCCACATAAACCCCAGAAGCCGTTTCACAACTTTAACTTATGACGAAAACACCGATGACAGACTGACCATACTCTAGGAATACTGCACTGAAAAGGCACTTATCCAGTGAGCTGCGGTGCATTAGTAGGGTTATTACTGACAGGTTGTTGTGGGTCACGCGCTTCGTCTATGGAAAATCTCACATTTGTCAGTGGAATGAATTTGGAATGGTCCTTATTCCGGAGGAGACGAATGCTGAGTTGTATAAAACAAGAATGGAAAAGTAAACATGGTCACAAATCGCGACGGCCGGAGCCAATGCTTCCTGCCGTTTACTGCTGTTACACCGGTGTGCACTGCCGATGGTGCAGCTAATAGCAACAATGTTGGGCGTCGGAATCCACGAGACACCGAAGGAAAGAGATTGAAAAGTAGCCAACTAGCCTATGCAGTGCAATCGGCTTTCTTCTGTAATCAATGGAGACATCGGTTCGTGATAGAACCAAGGAGTGTTAGTCGACAAAATTGTACATCGACTATGAACCGCGAGAACAGTCAACTGAATGTCAAAGCAACGTCAAAAACATCACACTGAAAATCGATTCAATAAATTAAGAAAATGAGGCTAAAAACGGAGTCCTAGATTAAAACACCCAACTCACCAGTTTCAAACTTACTATCACGGACCTGCACAAGTTCAGACACGTCTAATTACTCACCTATCCCTGACGAGTGATCATGAGATTAGGGCGAAGTAACAGGTAGCGCCAGAACAACGGAAGTTGTAAATAGACGCGACGTATTGTGAGACCTCATGCCACCACAATTATGTGGGGCAGTATGGACCACATAATGCCCTATCCTTGCTATAGCCTAGCTACAGCCATAGCACAGCCGACCAACAAGTAACATGAGAGGAAGATCTCCAAGTAACTGAGACACTCGTTTCATACGGCTTTGTGTCCATCAGGGCGTGATAAATGTACACACTTGGACCTGTGCCCGCGATGCGATCGGGCAATGAAACATAGTTTATTGAACGCCTGCTCACAGCAAGCGAGCAAGTTGTGTAGGATGGAGTAACGTTGAAATCAGAAACTTTTATTAAATATGGTGGATGGGATGATATTTAAACTGATTCACGAATAGACTATGCCCTTTCACTGAACCCACCAGAAGTCCTACGCATTGCAGCACGTTGACCACTTTCGTATAAACTCAACTGCAGAGATAGAACGCTTGCTTCGTGTCAAACAATGAACCATCTCTAGCTCGACTAGAGATAAAAACGGATATTGTCTTGGACCACATCAGACACGTCCAGGCGCAGTGTGAGAGGTCTACCACCATTTTCTCACGTCTCCAACTACGTAAGCGCCATGGTCAACAAAACCCGTCCTACGTTCCAGTTGATGTATGGGCGGTCTACGTGGCTTCAGAACATCCATTCCGGGTTCAACGTTGTCACTTGATAAATGTACGCCGAAGGACAAAGTGGGGGAACTAGTGGCGGCCCTGAAAAACTGCACCACACAGTGCATCACTTTTCATTTCTGGTTAGGCTATTAGTGATTCACTGTTTGACATGAAGCAAGTGCTAGATTCCCCTACTTAATTGCACATGGAAATGGCCAAAATGATTGCAGGCACGACATAGAGACTTCATATTTGCAAATTCGTCTGTGGGTCATTTTCTTCATAATGGTTCACAAGTTTTCAGGTCTAACGCTGTTTCATCATACTCAACTTGGTGCCCACATGCTGCCGCTGTGCAGCTAAATTGGACCGATGGCACCGTTTTGTCGTGGATGCCCAATGAAGGCATCTGAAAATGTTGTCATAATCTATTACGCCTATCTCAACTCATTTAACGATGATACTCAAAATAGTCTGAGCGTCTGTTGCACAGGAGCGATACCGAAATCACGTTGGCTCCTATACAATGTCAAGGAAGGCCTTGGAAGACAACTGAAAATCTGGCTGAGTAGGGTCAACAGCGACCAGGAGCTGCCCGGTCTCTATGTGGTCTGTGAAATTCGTCAGTGGAACTGAAGCTTAACCTCGACCAATGCGGGTCTGGAAGCCGATCGTCGTGCTTGGGCAGTGTGCATCCGAGACAATTATGGAGCCGATTGGTCTTGTCTCATGACGTAAGTGTTCGAAAGATTGTCATGGGAAGAGGTCCAAGTGGAACAAACACTGGCAAAGTTGTGCAACGAGTGTGAAACTTCCACCGAAATTACCCTCTCGTGTGGCGATTGGGTAGCCTAACACACCACACGAAATCAATCATATCGTCCCAACAACGAGAAAGCAATATGCTTGGAAATTCTGCAAACGACGGAAGAAAGCCAGCAGATCACCAGTGATGATGGTGCCGACAAAACCAAAATATGAAAGGGCTCATCTCACTGTGCGAGACGCATCCACAGAGGAGGTCAAACGTTGGGGTGATAAATTGACATGTCATCAAAAACTAGAGGGTGACTGGACGAAGCAGCAAGCCTAATGAGGCTCAACTGTGGGTGCCGAATAACTGCACTTCTGTTGAAAGACTTCAAAGTAACGCAATACATACCGAGCCTTTTTCATTCGCTGCTGTGCTCGTTGCTCGTGCCACATTTGCCAACCATCTTTATCCATTCGCTGAGTGTTTTGACTAGCTTGGCGCCAGTGGGGAGGAGTGACACTGCGATCACGGCTTCCCGATCGACTTCGATAACACTATAATTGATGAAAGTGAGCGATTCTAAGAGTGTAGAGAATCTCAAAGAAGCAGAATGGTTTCAGTGCAAACGCGAATAACGTACGAGTGAAATAGCTGCACCTAGACAAAATGAACGAAAACTCACAAATCACACATGCTTACAGAAACGGATGATCGGAAGGTAAATGACTAATTATCCTAGTACTATAACCAATCTGAATATAAAAGGATGCCACACAAACTGACAGGTTCAGGCATCAGGCGAAAATGCCGTTCTCATGAACACACCGAATATGGGCGATATGGCGATCCTCTGAAGTATATTCCAGTTTAGCAAGCTGCCAAAGCTGATCTGCAATAGGGTAAACGTACTGACCATAAACAAACTTCCACTAGCGAGTTTACCTAGAAATACTCGCCAGTGCTCGAACTTGCGACATCATTCAAAATTAGTTTCTTCAACGAACCAGAGAAATGTCAACCTTTCCTACAGGAACAATTTCGTCATTTATGCGAAATATGTGCAACAGAGAACAATGCAAATCTGTTTTACCAGATGCGTTTTGCTTTTTTAGCCGAATCAACACCGTGATGAGGTCACCATGATGAGGTCACGTCAAAGCAATGTTATCCATTTTGAGCATAACGAGCTCTGTATTGCAGTTGACCCTTCTTCTGTCTGTATATTATCAGCTATCAGAATAAAAAGCATATTGAGTTAAAGCCTGGGAAACGTGCTTGAGGTTAGGGGACGTGTGTCCATTATGCGAGTTGTAAAAAACGTGGGAACAGAGTGAGTTAGCGAACCAGCTCATCTGCGCAAACACTGTAAGCTCAGCGACAGCCGGAGTGCGTTCGAGCTGCATTATCCGCGTCTCTCAAACCTGACATAACAGACCTGGGCGATGATGCCAGGAGGGAATTCCAAGGATGCTCCATAGAACTTTATGCGTCGGTTTCCACTATTGATATTTAGACGTTAGGAATATCGTGTGCATGTTAAATGTTACAACACAACAGCAGACCCGGACGCTTAGGCTATTTGGGGGTTAGCACGGCACTTAAAACCAAGGACCAATACATACAGGTGCATCGATATTAGAGTAGGAAAACCACTCATTATCATATTGGACATAAACACAGTTTGCCATACCAAACTGCAGCCTTTACCGTGTGGTAGACCTCGATGAAAATACAAACGTGACCACAAAAAGGAGATGGGTCTCGACACGACTTACTTCAGACTTTTAGTGTATATGAAAATAAACAAGTAAAGGTATCTGTGACCGACAGGAGTGCAACCAAGAAATAGCTTTAAATAAAAATTGTCAGTTCCGTCAGGAGCACTACATAGATGTCATGCAGTAGTAGGCACCAAAATATGAGGCCACCCTGCCATGGAGGCTTTCAAGTGCAAAGCTGCCCTGCAACCCAAGAGCATGAAGGGCGCCCCAAGACCATTAGCTGTGAACATACAGACTTTCTCAATTTAGTTGGTGTCTGAAGGTGACTCGTATAAGCCGGGTTGTCAGAATCAGCAAGGGTTGATAGCAACATATACTATAAAATAGGGGAACCAAAGAGAGTGAAAACTCTTGTCCTTATCGAGAGAATTGATCCAGCAGTAGCCAAGACCAAATTTTTTGCGTTCTCATTTGCGACGTCAGACTGAGATAGTAATGACTGACGATTATGGAGTGCGTCTGCTCATTGGCCATAGCAACTGGGAACATCATAAGCGGAGAGAACCCTCCGGCAGAGGACAGGCACCATAAAGTGGAGTGAGTATCCAGAAGATAGAGCAGTAAACACGTACTCCAGTCGTGTGCGGCGGTGTTATAGTTTAGGTACCATAATCGGAACTTGTCATCATAGACCAGCAATAGACCAGTAATCCATACAGTAAACCATACTTCTGCTCTGGAGGCGGTAAACCACAACCGAAACACGTTACGTCTGCATTAGCCGTTATTAACTATGCATGGCGAGCCAGTTGTTCTGTTATAAACCGTGTACCAGAGTAGTGTGATCACAACTGCTAAATTGCACTTAATGGGGACAATGAGAAAGAAGGAGCGATAGTCACACCTCGAACGCGATCGCCCAATCAGTTTTTTCGTACTAGATTGTTTATCTGATAAAGTAGACGGGGATTTACGCATTGAGGACAATGAATTCGGTACAGGACCGAAAGTGGCTGCGACGGGGGAAATAACCGCCAATTTGTTTCGTCCTGGGGTTCCTATCCGGGGAGATAACGATTGCCAATAAGATGGAATTGATTGACAAGGCCTTTCAAGTTCCGTTACCAAGTAATGGACTGACCGCCTTCGCTCATCCTCACCCGACAGATGGTTAGACGAAAACTCCGTCATACGAAACACAGCCTGATCAGCGTAAACTATGAATGCGACAAGCTTGAGGGTTACTTTTCTGAAAACCAGCTGATGTCCCTATGCACTAGTTATCCTATGTCCACTCGAGACCCATGCGATGCCTCGAAAGTATTGATGGCCAAACAGTCTTCGAGTAAATCCACAAAGCCGCCACGCCGCTAATTCATTAGACAGGACAGATCGAAACGCAGCAGTGTACATCCCATCCATGATAAATGTCACAACTGTCAAGGAGTGGCAAACTCCGTCTTGATCCTCCCGATTCGGGAAGTGGTTTGGCAGTTAGGCGGTTGCCCAGATGAATCAGTATGCCTAGTTCATCGATCGGTTCATTTACGAGTACGGTTTGAACCCATCAATTATTGTTACAGAGCTTCATGATTTAAGGATAAGGCGCACGCCGAACCGTACAACAGAGATTTTAGGTCAAGATAGTATGTATTAAAGGATTTGGGCCAATAAGAGCAACATCGACAAACACCTCGAAATATTCTCGATCAGACAGGCAGAGTCAAGCAGTAAATCCATGACGAAATTGAGCGGAAAATACGAGATGGTAGCCTTGCCTGACACCAACGAATGTGGTGACCATAGGCGAAAGTTTCTGCCGTAGACAGTCACGCAGAGACTACTAAGAGGCAGGAAGTTAGAAGGGACAAATTCCACCGCCAAACACCGCCAGTTCCCAAGGATCAACGGAATCAAGTGGCCCATAAACAAGGATAAACCACTGGTGTTAGTTATCGGCGAAAACGATGCAGGTTACGGAATGTGACTTAGTGATAGCTTACTACAATCACTCCGAGGTGCCCACATCTCCAGACACTCACTCAGCCAACCTAGATAGAAACTGACAAGAACGCCAGTGACATCGGTTGGCATCCATATCTTGTAGTGTCTCCAACCAGGCACAGTGAGGATCACGCGGTCCCATTTTTGGAAGGCGTGTAGCACTGAGAGCACCCAAACGTTTCGTGATTTTTTCTTCATACCCCTCTGCAGGTCAAGGGTTGGCCACCTCCCTGTTTACGCCACTCTTAGTTGGGCACGGAAAACAGTACTCTTTTCGGCATAAGCAACACACGTCCCAACCAACGCAGCTTCTGGTGATCGACATAGTCCTCAACGGAAGTACCCATTGCACAACAGAAAACTCTAATTGCCTCGTTTCGGATTCGCCGACATCAACCCACACTATCTATGGTTCTGAGATAGAAATTGTCGAACATCTGAAGACGTCTCAGCTCCGCTGCTCGAACAGGCCAAGTCTCAGCCACGCAACAAAACAGCCCACACTGTAGCCTGATACACATGTCCCTTGTGATTCAGGTATACACCACTCTGACGCCATAGGTGTCTCAGATTGGCAAACGCGACCCGGGCCTTGCATATTCGTGCATCGACCTCATCTGTCACACTGCAATCAAGACTAAAAAAACCTCCAAGAATGCAAAGTGCGTACCAAAGGACGAGATAACTTTGGTTAGTTAATCCAAAAACGCCTGCGCCTTCTCCAATTCAACGATGAGAACGATATCGTCTGCATATTCCAGACCGACAAGGTTTTCTTCACAGGCTATTTGAACATCAGGGTTTTGGAGACCTTCCAGCGTTCGTCTCATGAGAGGGCGAGATGGCTCAAGTGGGCGGAGCGCGAATTTACTGACCGGAAGGTCCATGATTCGAATCCGACCTCCGCCTCTTGACTTCCCCTCTCTAGGCTTGGGCAACCGGGCAGTATCCCAGCCCTCGTGCAACCTTCGGGTGGCATGGCAATTGGGCACCGAAAGGGTGCTGTAGCTGGACAATTTATTTTTTTCATCTCATGATTTCATCGATCACGAGGTGAAGAAAGAATGGAGAGAGTGGGCATCCCTGACGGAGAGCGCGGGAGCTTTTGGAGAGTGCAGTGTTTACTCTCATACATTCGGAAGACCGAGAATACAAAGAGCTTATGTTCACAAACTTCCGGGGTATTCCTTAGGCAAACATATAAAGAACGGACTGGTCAACCGAGCCGAATACGCCTTGGAACTCTAGGAATACTAGAATTGTGGATTGTTTATACGTACGACGTTGTTCTAGCACCCGACGGAGTGTGAAGATGTAGTCAACGCGACCCCTACTAGGCCGAAATCCCGCCTGCTGCTCTTGAGTCAGTGTCTCACGAGCCACAATGAGGCGATGAAGCACAAGTGACGCCAACAGTCTCGTTAAGACCGGGGTCAAGCCGATCCCCCTGTGGCTAACACACCCACTAAAAGCCCCTCTTTTGAAAATGGACAATATCACCGACTTTCCCCAGTTGCTTTGGACAGACTCCATTTCTCAAATGAAAGCAGACAGATCAGACAGCCGCTGACTGAAGAATTCACCCTCACCTTTGAACAATGCGGGTGGGAGGTCATCCGGACTGGAAGCTCGGTGGCGAGTAAGAGAACATATGCACTCGTAAACCTCCAAAGCCGTAGGTGGTTCTACGTTCACAGTCCAGGGTTCTAAGTCAACTGTAGGCTCCAGATGAATGGCAGCTGGTGGTCAAGACAATTGTTTTCCAAAGTATTCGGCCCACTGGTCGAGGCGTTCTCCATCCAAGATGATTACTCCTTTCCGATTCTTGATGGTTTTACCTCACAGGTTGTTTCCGTTGACCGATCGCACTGATCAGCTGAAATAATCTTCGGGCATCACCGGCTTTCCGGGTCTATTCCATTTTTCGGCCTTCTATGCACACCACACTTCACGGCCGGCTTGCACGTTCGCTTTTACTTGACGTCTGATAACTCTTCGCAGCGGGTTATGTTCGGGACCAGCTGGGATATTTCTCGGAGATTTCAGCAGCGTCACTGTTTGGTCTGCACCTGGTGGTGCCGTGACACAGGTAAAATTCCCAGCACTATGCTAAAAGGAGGCACGACAGCCAACGTTGTCCAAGTCTAGACAGGAAGTGGCTGGATTCGAACCACGAGCCTTCCGGTCAGTACGTTCACATCTTAACCACTGCGCTATCTCGAGCTTCAAGAGATTGAGTTCATGGGACTAGCGGGACCGCTCTATAAAGCAATGAGCCAATTGTCGAGAACGATGTTTCTGTGAACGACTGAGATTCTACACTTTTCGGAGGTCACCCCGTTGGCTACCGCCCCCGAACCAACCGATTCTCATTTGGAGGAATCTGCGTGTGCCATCACTGTAGTTTGATGTTTGTATAGTTTTGTTGGCATCAACGAGAGCCATTGTCCGAGGCGATATTCAACTTTACTGGGAGCGCACGAGACCGGAGGAAGGCGGCTTCAGAAACTAAGAGCGGGGTAAGCACACCTTTTTTAAACTTCCTTAAAACCATTACTAACATCGTACCTTTTGAGTTTGAAGGCCTACACAGATTGATGTTGTTGGAATGCAGAGACGCGTTGATGATAAGCCGAATGGTCGTGCATACGCCGAAGCGGAGCGAAGTGACACATATCCAAAAAGTGTCCCGTCAGTCAGTGTGTACTCCAGAATGAAGCTCTTCACCGGTTGGTATTTATCACATGGCCTAACTGAATCCACAGCTGATCTGCATTCGGTGACCTCCAGATAACAATATGTCAACACTGCGCTGAAAGTTGTAACAGCTACAAACAGACGACGTTCAGCAGAAAACTGAAATCACTCTTTTGCAGTGAGCATCAAGCCCGAACCGACCACCAAGATAGGCTTCCTCCGGACTTAGTTCGCCGACCTGGACCAGAACAATATGTATCCATTTTGCTGGCCGAAGTACTCGTGACAACCTCAGAAGCGAGTACACTTCTCAGCAGCCATCTGCTGGGGCGTATGCTGATGAAACAAATAAACGCTGTTTAACTCATCAAGATGCATTTACCTTGATTGAGCCACTCAACCCAACGGCTCAAAGATAATTGCCTACTAGAGTCCACCACAGAAAAGCGCATTCGGCTTCAGGACTAAACACAACTCCCATGTCATATACACCACCAGCCACTATATCAAGACCAACAGAAACTAAAAGTGAGACGCGAGCAATCTGGGTTTACCATAGGCAGTTCGAAAAGTAGGATCAAACTGTAGTCCTGTGTTTTGGAGACTCAGCATATTAGAAAAGGAAAATGGTGTGAGCCAGAAGTGCCTGTTGACCAAAATGACAAGGTATGGACGTTGAGACCCGCAAGTGGGGAAATCCCTCGAATTTAATGGGGAGTTTAGTTTATTTCCCAGATACGCAGTGACGGTTAGACGACAAAATGAACCACGAAACTAGATGAAATGTGAGGAGGATCAATGAAAGGCAAATGGTATTTCCTCGTTGCCAAGGCGGAGGAGATTTCGAATAAGACACCTTACCTGGAGCCTATGGCATGATGAACAAATGACGCTGAGTAAACGGTACAGTAGGGACGGTTGTATGTCAACGGAGCGCAAAACCCAGTGGATAACTATTCTATACGAACGATACGCAAACTGCGCAAGCTCTGTAAGCACAATTTCAGCTTGAGTAAGTTCTACAGCTGGAGACTAATATGGCCTATAAACGAAGTCAGTATATAAATATTCACCAACCACAAATCTGCTGTTTTATTTATATTTTTTAGATCTGCGATTTACACAAGTAAACGAAGTGGAAACTTACTAAGCGGCCACGGCCCTTCACTTTACGACCCGAACGGTCGCCTTGACGCTCACGGGATGCCCGCATGAGTTCACGACCGACAGCTTCTGCTATGTGCCTGAAGACAGTAACAGATATGTTGCCAGGTAGCTTTCGCCAGAAAGGTTTGCACATATACGGCTGCTTAGTCAAATTTGACAGAAATGAAAGCCACGATGCAAGGAGTGAAAGCAATTAGCTGAGCCACAAAACTCAAATGTGTACGTGTTTAATGGAAATTCACAGTTGCTATCAGACCAAGACTAGTGCTGCTTCTAGTACACAGCGGACGAAGGGATCGCAATTTCACTCATAAGTTAGAATCGATTATATTAAACAACAGACTAAGAATGATACATCCGACATTCTACATTTAGAATTCGGTTGTCCAACACAGTCGGCCACAAATATTCTTGGTGTTTAGGAAAACAGCTGCTCCTGATCAACGGATATGTGAATTTGATCATAACTGGAGGACCTGAGAGCGAGAAAACTCCTGACATGAAAAAAACGATGTCTAGGTTTGGATGGTCGTGATCTCCCTCAGACTATGTTGCAGTGGGAACCGTCGAATTTATGATGGTTACTGCGAGAAAAACTCAAGTAAATATAGACCAAGGTGTTGAGCCACAATCCGTTGGAATGCAAGGTAGATAAAGTACGCAGACTAGGATAGGCGCATCTTGGATGTAAGCATCATAGAATCGGCAATGGCCGACTGGCAAAGTGACAGCCATACAGCAAAACCAAAACTTCATGTCGGACACGCCCGTGAACGCAGGAACAAAGACTGTCTCTAACCAAAATTCGATTGATGCTGGGGTGGACCAAGGAACGGCTTCGGATAACAGGAAAAGCCCACCACATTAAATCAGTAATTTATCTAAGGCTACTCCGATGCTGAATCACTGGTAGTTCACATGAAGACGGCATGACAGTGTCAATGAGAGAAGCAAAGCAGCAGTAACCCATGGGGTCAGCTATCAAATACATAACAAAATACCTGTTCAGTTGAGGGTCAGACCATAAATCACCAACGGTACAAGACAAAAAGAAACCTGTTTAAAATGAGCGTTGTTAACCCGGAGCATCCGAACTGCTGCCGGCGGACCAGTGATGTGGGGGGTAAAATTGGAAAACAGTGATCACTCACCCGTAAAATCCTGGTGTGAATTGTTCATTCGTGTCAGCAACAACAGGTGATTAACTGAGAGAAATACACCGAGCGGATCAAGTGCTCAATTTTGGAGTGAACAGCAAAGCACACTCGTGCAATCACTTCAGACATAGGAAAGCCATGGAATTCCGAAAAATATCAGTTGGGTAATTCAGAAATTTTTTCGACGATAACCCCTTTAGCCCCAGCACCCGAATTGTGTCTGTCTGTTGGCGGCAATTCGTGGGAAACGCCAAATTAATTTACCTACATGGCGCTCCGACAGTCAAATAAGCTAGACTGTAACACCTAAGTCGCGGTTATTCGAGGATAGTTCGCATGACAACCGACAGACAGAATAAGTGCACGTAAACGTTAAATGAACTCCAAAGGTCACGCAACCAAACAGATGAGGCTGAAACGAGAAAGCTTGTCTCATACCAACATTCCATGAAAATATTTGTTATCGAGGGTTAGTACCAGTGCAGTAGAAAATTGAGTGAAGTACAAGAGCTTGTAATACCCGTTAAATCTGGAACTCGGTTGTTAGCCAACGATAGGCAAAACGCAGAGACCAACGGCAAATGTCAGCACCAGACTCACTTGATTAAATGACCCTCGTTATGCAGAAATTTCATCACACTTTCGGGTTCAAGATAATCGGGCCTAGCAGATTGAACGTTGGTCGAAAATAAGTTGCATGTAATCGAACTTGATAGGAGTAAAGTTTGATCAAAAAGCTAAACTGTAACTCAGGAATAGCGACCTAAAAGTCTCCAAGATCCAGAAACTGTGCACTACCCTTTCTACAGCCCTGGAAACAATATGAGTAATCCGTTGGTACTCTAGATGGAGCATGCAGGTTCAGCTCGGCTGTTAGTCTCAGCCCCCTATTTCAGATACAAGAAACGTACCTGGATAGCAGTATGTTAAATTCATTGTGACTAGTTACAGATTTTCTTTGTGTTGCTGACTGCAAAGCCTGAAAGGCACAAGTGCACAAAACTACAATGAAATTAAGGGCGTGCTTAACTCATGGATCTAGAACGCATAGGTCGATTCCAGTAGGCAAATACTAAGGTGAGAAAAAGAGTGCACACCCACTTTGGACTTTGATCCCGTTTCGATTGAATCTCGGGTTTCTTGTCAGCTTCGAGCGTTCCGCGATAAAGAAATCGAGGTGGCGGCACTTCCGGAATTTCCTCTGGTCGCACACTGCATTCAACTTCGTCAGAGGCACTAACGTCGGGATTTGTGAGGAGATGGGATGAAATACCTTTCAGACTCTTCACTGACGTTCTTGTGCTTCTTCTTCTTCTGCTTCTTGCTCTTTTTCTTCTGTTTCTCGCCGACTTCTGCCTTCAACTTTTTCTTTTTGACTTCGACAGAAGTTAGAATTGGGCTATATCTCACCTGGAACAAGTTCACCGCAAGCATCGATGACAATCGGCTTCACCGGTCGGTGAGTTTTGGTATCTGAAATAGGGACCGCCTCTATCTTACGAACGACATCTTCGCCAGACAAAACGTGGCCAAATACAACATGTTTTCCATCCAGATGAGGGGCCGGAGCGGTTGTTCTGAACAAAATAATATACTAACGTCGCTGCTTACATGAAAAACTGTGATCCATTTGTGTTTGGACCACGATTTGCCATTGAAAGTAGGAAAGGTCGATCATGTGGTGTTGAAAGGCACTCGTCTAAAAAAATATCAAACCTAATGTGGAAACAAACCGGCAAACGTTCCTCCATAGATGGACTCACCACCAGTACCATCTCTGTTGCTGAAATCCCCACCTTGCACCATGAACCCCTTGATAACCCTATGAAATACACTTCCTTGGTAGTGCAACGGCTTCCCTGTTTTCAGTCCTAAACCACAGGCACCTTTTAAAACGCTAGACATCAGTTACGAACATTACCTTGGCATAGTTTCTTAAAGTTTTCCGCAGCTTTCGGGCACAGATCATTGAAGAGCTCGAATACAATACGACCAACTGGCAAGAATGATATAAAGAAATGAAAAGCAATGAACTACTTGGAGCACCATCAATAGTTATATCAAGGAAACAACGAGTACGGAATTTTTGCTTGGGCATCGCAGGTATGTGAAGAGCGCACCGCACAAAACGAACTGCCGCTTGAGGTGCAAACTAAAACGCGCCAAGAGCGCGTTAAGGCGTGACGAGTAGTTTGGGCAGTATCGTGCACGCAATCACACACTTATAAGGGTTTTCGGTAATTTTCTACGTATATCTATCTCCCGTGTATACCACTCATCGACGAGAATGAACAAATTATTGTGTGACTAAGTTACCACACACGCGCGCGATTCAAACAAATCACAGTAACCACTAGAATTGGTGGTGCTTAGCATTCGCACAATTCTATTGAATTTTGGAAGAGGAAGACGTTTCCATGATGGATTTAAAGAGACAGGCAGCTGATTGCAGGGTGCGAGCCCAAACGTTTGAACCACGTATAGGTATCTCGGTGTCTCCGCGACGATAGGAAGGCATTCCGCCAGATTATTTCCGCCAAGGATGCCGTTGTTTCAGCAGACAATGGAATTTAGTGAGCTGCAAAAATAAGAATGAAGAAAAGGGTGATTTTTGGTTTGAGTACATGCGCAACAAAATGCAACATTTTGTTGCAAAATGTTTTAGTCCACTCGCACAGGTTTTGCAGCGAAGAGCATTGTGTGGCCAACGGGCCTCTCAAAAACTATACACAGATCCACTGGTATATTTCTGCCATATCTTATGTTGCAGATCCAAGGTATCTCAATCCATTTTGGAAGAAGGCCTGACAAAAATCACTTACTGATTTGACTGTTCGCATGTCATGTTGTTTGACCTTTGCACACTTCGGTTCCGGTTTCTGGGGCGTTGAACACGTGTTTCTGAGCAGAAGTTGTTCTACTTTTCCGTCCGTGCGTCTATCCGCATTACGTTGTTTCTGAGTTGACCATGTGCTTCTATTGTCATACAGCGTACTACATCGACTTATTACATTACAACTTGTGACAGAGTTGGGATTCCAACAAAATACAGCACGCCAGCTGCTGTCTTGTGTGTCAATCGAGGCACCATTAGCCACTGTGTATGAGATTTAAGATGATCCTTTTAACTTCACACACCTAACCTTGCCTCAACTAGAAGTATTCCGGGGGCGGCTGTTTCTACTCGATGAACGGTAGACCAATTTATGGGCAGTGTGGTGAACATAGCAACGAAGATCTACGCAGCAAGGAACGGATTAAAGAGTGAAGCAGAGTTGCTTCAACGGTTCATTCTGGGAGTACCCCATTCCGGTCCCAAAGCAGAACTCATCCACGGTCCCCTGGGACCATATACATAATGCGACTAAACTCGGTCACGGTTACGCCGTGACATGAGTGCTAGAGCAACAACTCCATGCCGCACAGCTAACCGCAAACCCGATTCCCCATCAGCCACTACCTCAAAATTGGGATAGTTTACCGGCAAATCGGATGAACTACCCTCACTGCCACCGTTTCGGAAGAAGAGCTAAGAATCACAGCCACGCCTGTCCAATCCGCCCGCAGTCGAGCCTGTAGTTTTTGCAATTCAGTATCGCTATTTCCCATATTTATCATTCTACACAACCACGCACAATGTCAGGTTACCTAGATAATCAACCAGTACGTTCCTCGAGCAAACGTGCGCTCCATGCTCTATAGTTGGTGCACAAGAGTCTTGGCCACGTGATCACCACTCGACAGCTAATGTCAAACTGAAACAGTAAATGGTACGCCGCTTCAAACTTCTGAAGCGCCACTCCGCCAGAATGGAAGGATCGTGCAAACACCACCGGTTCTACTGGTGACATGGAAATTGTATGACCGTCAGCAATGTGCTTCCTTCGTTGTCCTTGTAAGGCAAAAGAACAAAACCCTACGTATGTGCATTGATTATCGGAAATTAAATGGTGTCTATACTCGTGGCTCTTTTCCCCTACCACTAATGGACGGCATAATTTATGTTGCGACAGGAGCAAAGTGGTCCTCAGTATTCGGTTGCCCTTGGGTTACTGGCAGTCGTAAGTGGGCCCAGAGACCGCGCAGTGGCCTAAGCTGCAAAAAATTTTACGCCAAACTATTGCATTCTGTTGCGCATGTGCTGCTCGCCAAGTATCACTGTTCGCTGAAGTAACCATACCCCTGGAGGAAAAGTTTGGTGCAATACTTTCCTAGCAACTCTGGGACACCGGGATGCCTATACGGGGCTCAAATGTTTGGACTCATACTCCGAACTCATTTGTCTGCTTCACTTATTCTATTACGGACGCGTCGTAGCTTTTCAAAATTCAATCCGTTTGTGCGAACACCGAGCGCGTAGATTCCATATGGACTGTAGAAGTTCGAAACAACGCCGTTTGGGCTCGCCAACGTGCGATGAAAAGTGTCCTTCCTGGGCCACTATCCATCAGATAAGGGCGTACGCACTGATCCGGGAGAATTTAAGCACCAACGACTGTACACCATGTTTGTGCGTTTTTAGATCCTGCGTCTCGCTACCACTGGTTTGCCGGAAATTTCGCCAAAATTTGTGCTTCACTTTATCGACTGACGGAAATAGGTCGGTTATTCGAACAAACTAAGAAATGTAGTACCGCTTTTGATAGCTTCGAATGTGTGTTGTCCTCAGCACCAATCCTGACATTGTCACATATATCGACGACTGCTGGCAAATTCACTCTATATACCGATGCCAGGGACGCCGCCATGGAGGATTTGCTCTCGTAGACGGCAGATGGCCACAGAATGTCATCGCATATGCCAGCAGGCAGCTCGACAAGCGTGAACACAGGTATAGAACATGTCTAGAAAGCTCCCTATAGTGCTTTTACCTCTCCATTTTCGCTTAATACGTATTAGGACGCCATTTCACGGTATACATAGATCACTGTTATCTTCATCGCTGATAAAACTTCTAGGATGTGGAAGGACAGATTGACGGACAGCAGAAGCACCTACAAGAATTTAACTTGACATGTACATATCGACCTGGAATGGAGCATACAAAAGCTGATGCACCCTCTAAATACCCAACAATTGTAAAGCGGGTGAATATGGCGAATATGGTGAGCATGGTGATAGCTAGCCTGAGTGGAAACGCATCCAGGGGACCGATCCGGACTTCGAGGACATCTACGACACACAGATACAAGGGTCTCGGAAACAATCCGACAAGGTATCGCAGGGTTGTTCAGCCATGAGGAGACATGTCTAGACAAATTGTGCTCACAGTTGACTTTTAAATGACGTCCTGTTTGTTGCACGGTGGCCCAATGAACCACACGCTTTGTTATTTAAATGCAAAGTTAAGAAGTTTTTGAGCAGTTACATGCGACAACCAGTTGCGTCGGACAAAATAGGACCGAAGCGGTCATTTGTCAGCTGTTTTGATGGTAGTATTCTGCGTTATTCGTGCTCAGCGCTCCATCCAGTTCCATCGGAAGTACTTAATAGTCGTGTTGTTAAGGTGATCGGTCTACTTCTTACTACAAAAACAGGTAACAGTTATACACTGATATTGGTCGATTATTTTCAAACGAGATATGAAGCCACCCCACCAAAGAACCAGTATGCTCGATCGATGGGTATAGCTCTAGTAACTGAATGGATAAGTCCTCACGGAATGCCAAACACTTTGCACTCCAACGTGGTTCATCCTTTGAAAGTCGTCTTATGAGTGAACTTTGCCAGCTTGTTTACACCAACAAGACTGACATCACACTCCATCACTCTGAAGGAAATGGGTTGGTTGAATGTATGTACAGAGTAATAAAACGCATATTAGCTGCTTATATCAACCAAACTTTACAGGACAAGTAGGACAAATATCTACTGCAGTGCTTGTTGGCTTATCGCGCATCCCTTCATGATTCCACCGATTTTTTCCCTGTAAAACTTCAGTATGGGTACGAGCCTCGCCTCCGACGACCCATGTTGAATACGCAAGACTTAAACAATTACAGTCAAGAACTGTAGAAGCGGTGCAAATTAGAACACACGTAATTCACAGCAGCAAAAACCTATTCTGATTGCCAAGCATTTGTCTGTGTATATCGAATCGGAGTATGTGAACCACTGCATTGACCGAAACCACCACCTGGCATAGCGGAAAAATCTACCGCTAATGGCAGGGACCATATACCATAGTTATAAGAGCACTGCCGTTGAATTTTGCATCGCATGGCTCATCGAAATCTGTCTTTGCGACAGGCGACTGTCCTTTTGAGAAAAGCTAATTATGGGCTAGTAAGTTTTTCCTCCTTTTTCAATGATGGTCAGCGCACACTACATCAGCTGCACAGTGAGGTCTTATCTTTGCTGGTATTGTGATATCTTAGTAATGCCCTTAGGAGAAATGGTCGATTCATGGGCGGAACAAGCCAGTAGTACAGTAGGACGGCCACCGCTTTGAAGTCCTGGCAAAATTTCAATCGTTTGGGATGGTCTGGTGGGCGAGTGTAACGCTCTGCCGGTGAGTATTGGCAATATGATGAGGTGCGGCAAGAGCTCAGACTGAGTACGCTGGTCGCGTTACCGTTATAGTTGCGTCGTACTTGAGATAGTAAGCAGCCTTCCACACGAAAGTCTTGGGTGAGTCATTTGTGGTTGCCGTGGTAGTTAGGATCGGCCGAGGAATCAGGATGAATTAGGACCAGCATGGATCAGGGATATTCTTGAGTCCATCGAGGGCCCATGGTGGTTCGTGGGCTCCACTCGAACGACGCGTTGGGACGGCTTGGCCCACATCGATGCCACGAAATTGGAGAGGTTTCTAAAGGGTCTGTAGAAAGACCGTGTTTTGAGTCATACTGCACCCCGAAATAGCATGCAGCCAAAAGCGGTCACAATTTGTAACCACTGCGGTGAAGCAAAACGGGCCCATTTCATAATCGGCAATCGATATTCAGGTGCAGGCAACAGATGGGCGGTTGATGCAAACGGGTGTGAGCGCATGCAAATATGAAGAACTTTCAAGCTAATCCATGCGCAAGTGTGGTGGTGCTAAGTGTGCTGGGATAGTAAGCTGGACGTGCCTGAGGGTGATGCCTATTTTTACAATCAGATGACCTCAGAATGGTGCAGTTAATGCCAAGAAAAAACGTGAAAGCTTTTAAAACGAGCAGTGTTGACGGCGTGTTACTTCGCGTCTTCAGTGAGGCTCCGTTAGCATTTTTACTCAGCCATAAAGGTTATTTAGATTCACGAGAGGATTGCCCGGGATATATATGCTACAGTCAGGGCAGGCTTGAGTCAGCGGCGTGGGCATTAAGAAGAAGTTGCTTCCATTTTAGTTTCCTCATTTTTTCCTCGCTGAAGGTGAAGGGTGAGGCGCAACATGGGGCAGAAAGCCTTCATGAGGATAGAGCTTGCAGATGAGGTGAGGACCGTGCACCGTGCAGTCCCTCGCATCGCCAGGCAGAGGAGGTACGGAAGAGAAAGACAGGGTACAGAATGAGTTGATGGATGTTTAGAGCGGGGTAATTACCGAAAAGGTCAATCAGGTAGGAAAGATGAGGGTGAGCAGTCAAGCGCATTGACATGACTTATGAATAGTCGGAGTCAGTCGGTCACTTAGTGGGCGAAGTCCGGAGTGATGGCGTTGTGGAAATGTAGGTTACTTGGTTTCGGATAGAGGGAAATTTGTTCCTACGCAATGAGATATAATAGACCTCGAGGTTCTCCCTCCTACCATAATCAGTATCAGAAAAATTAAGGTGGCAACAGGTGCGACTTAACTGGGAGCTCATTTATTCGGATATTGTGAACATGAAGATGGGTGCCACTACTTAGACATGAACGATAAGTTGAATGAGGCTGAAAACAGACAGACATGGAAGAGCGCTCCGCAGTTGCCTGGAATAGCGGGCGGCTTTCAACAGTTAGATTGCAGTTAGATTGCAGTTAGATTGCAGGAGCCGCTTTACAAACGCAAGGGCCGGAGCCGATAATCGATTTCCGGGATATGGGCCTCTAGTTAGCGACTCTGCTACTGAGTTCAAAGTGTGAAGGTTGAGGGTTATGAAGAGGACGACGGAGCTGTTTCTTTTAAGCCACATGATATCTGCAAAGGGAAGTATAAATGGAGTGTATTTGGGATTTAGCTCCCTGGACGAGCAGATTCGGCGCCAAGTACCCGTCTATCACTAGATCGTCTCAACAGCCACATTTCTGAGTGCAAGCCTGAAGGCACATGAGGTCTTTGAATCATATTTGATCTTACGACTGACGTGTGCACACCTGTATCCGACCTTAACCTCAATGAACCCAATATAGCTTACTCTCACTCAATCGTGCCATGGCCTCATCGTTGCACACGTATCCCGCGTTATCGGCGATTAGACTTATTGAGCAGGTGATGGGTTTACCTTTATACCAGTAGGAATTGGGCTTTAGAGTGGACACCGATCAGGAATTGTGAACGACGGGATTTAATGAGCCCTGGGTGAACCAGAGGAGGAAACTTTATTTAATAATGTGTTTTTAACGATATTAGGGAAGATTTGAACCAGTTGTAATTGATGGTACATTTGTCCTTTCAAAAATCCCGTCGAGTTAAAGCTGTTCCCTAAAAACGTGAGCTTGCACTCGTGCGGATGCAACCGGTAGATGGAAACATAATCCTCCAAGCGTGATTGTATGTTTTTCTTGTGTGTACTTGGCAGATGGACAATATGTTTCAGTATGAAGGGTTACCGTTTGCCACTGGATTAGGTTACCGCTCATTGTTGAGGCCTCGATCCACGTCGCGCATAGATGCGGGCCGATAAACTAATAAGAGTGACTGAGTTTAGCGAAAACACGTGAGGTAAGCACGATAAATGGTAATGACTGGCCTTTAATATCACTGCGCCCTAAGAAGTGAGCTAGCGGGCTGACGTCACGCTATCCATTTGGAAGGTGTCTCATCGTGATTTTGCTAACTCACGTATAGATATCTGAAATCGCTGATTTTCCTACCGAATAATTACGCATATCTGAGAACGGGGATTACTCACAGAGATGAATGCACACATTCGTACTGGACAATGCATCAGACTGTCCTCGTGTGTTATACTGCTCAAAAATTGGGCTTCACAGAAAAATGTTGAGCCGAAGTTTGGTGAACAAAATCAGTGTATGCGTTATATGAAACCTGAATTCTCCATACAAACGTTATTCAGCTGACTATCAGGGTGGAATCTGCGTGACATATCTCCCACCCGGATAACATCGTAGTGTTAGAAAAAAATGCTTGGATTTCATTTCGTGCTTCATCTCGTAAAGTATTAGTAACATGAATCGGCGATAGTCGACCACCTTGAAGGTTTTCTCACCTAAACAAAATGCTACGAGCAGCATATTACGGAAATGTGCAACCGTTTAGGCTAACGGTTCAAAATTTCAAACTTTGAAGCCTCAGAGATTTTGCAAAGTTAATTTCAGCTGACTGCTAATGAGCGGCGGAGAGAATGCCAATTCCTAGACACTCGAAATTTCTCTGAAACCATGGCTTGAACGAAGGAGGCTATTACATTAAGTTAAAGCATTCGGCAAAATTTTACGAAACCCTGAAATGCCCCAGACAGTCCTTGTTTTTTAAAAAATTGTTTGGGCATATTCAAGATCTTCTTCGCATGCGAAATTCATATTTTTAGCTGCCGTGGTTCAACATGATGTCTCTACAAAAGGGATGGGATAATTTCAGAGGTTATTTTCTTCACTTGTTCTCTTTTTTATTGGATTTTTAAATATTTTGCAAGTCCAAATAATGGATAGTCACGTTCCTTCGTTAGCGCAAACTCAGAATGGAGCAGCCATTCGCGACCTATGTGGGGAGAAGTTTTTCATCGTTGAAGCATCCAATCGTCACCAAATAAAATCGAATAATTCGTCACAGCTATTGAGGTTAGTGAATCTTTTGATGGCACACTGTATTGGGTTTCATTTTCATCGGCATACTCAATCATTTCAGTGCTGTGTTTTGATTTGGTTGTGTTATGTGCAGTGCGCTCAGAGAGCACAATAGCCTAGCCACAAACGCGGTGGGGTTTTTTAGCGCATGGAACACGCTTCATCATGAAACAGATAGTTATGTTGCGAAATATGTAGTGTATGTGGAGATATGTTAAAATACAAGCAAGTTATCAGACAGAGTAGAGGTGTTGTCACCGCCATATTATACTATAATCAGTAAACAGCCCTGAATATGAATTTCTTGGGTGAGTAAGTTGGGGCTGTCAGGAACTGCGACAAATTGAGACCAGCGTTGAATGACGCGTATGATCCTTGCCTCTTGATGTGTAAAAATCATAGTACAAAAGCATCCTTCATTACCGTCAGTGGGATTATTTGTGCAAATAATAATACTGGTAAATATAATAATGTTTGGTTCCAACCGCCGAGTGGCATACAGTCAGGCATATTTACACGGTTATAGTCAGAATGAACATGACCGAAGACTTTTTGGGTTCCGGAAATTGCGCGAAAAAACAGTGTCATACAAGGCAGGCAATATCCGATGTAACCTTGGTCAGGTCTAAGCCAGCACGGGATAGCAGACACAGTTATCGGGATTTCATCTCACTTTCCGGAATAATGTCAAGCTGAGACAAGATCAGAGAGTTAAGAATTGAAGGTGGCAAGCAAAATCAGATAGGTGAAGGGAAAAATCAACATTCTGTCTTGTGCATTATAAGAAAACGTTAAATTGCACAAAATGACCGGAGGAACAGCCTATCTGGTGCGATGGCGAGTTTGTCACGTTCTGGTTGATTAATTTGAACTAAAACATGAACTACCACTCACATCTGGTGGCTTTGACTGTTGTGCTTACGACCACGGGGTGATGAAGCGGGAAATCAGCAACAAAGATAAGTGGTAGCAGGAATCTCAGATTCACGGTGTACAGTGAAAATGGATAGACTCACCGTTGTCGTTGTTGTAGTGAAGACGGGTGTAAGTTACTTGGGAGAGGGATTTGGTGCTCACGCACAAGA